GCTTATATAAATGCTTTTCTTGTTCTCTACGAGGTAGGTCGGCCATGCTATAATTGCAACGTCATAGACCTCCTCCTGGTCAGTGACGTAGGAGAAGGGATGCCCTTATGTGGGAAGTAGACTCCGGTCACTAACTAGGGGGGAGAGGTAGAAAGGTTTTGCTGGATGCCGAGAGAGGCAGAGCGACAGTCGGAGAACAGTCGCAAGAGTCGCAACAGAGTAGTTACAGAGTAGTAGTCTAGAGTAGCACTCCTACGGAACGCCTCGTCCACTTGATTCAAGTGACTTAGCGTGGCCCACCTACCTCCAACCTCGACAGCGCAATGGCTGTGTCACAAATCACACAAACAGGAAATATTATGTAAATCTTATTAAATAAATCCGCGAGGGCCGTGTTCTGATATCCAACGAATCCCAATCATTCGAAATCTCCCGAAACTCGGTCAAACGCCACGAAATGCAAGACTCTCAACTCGGCAACAAACAAAAACCCCACTCGGCTACCGCCACAAATGCTTCCATATCAGATGCATGGATATACTTGACGGATCATCCACGCTGCTGATATTGAAGATACTGCCTTGCAGCTCCGCACACTGCACGCGTTGCCACCGAACCTAATGTTGGTGCGCAAGAGGAATAGGGATGTAAAAATCCCAGTATCATCTCGGTCCAGTCAAGAAGCGGATCCGGGGGGGGGGGGTGACTGCCTCCCCTATGGCTAGGTTAGCATTCTATTTTTTTTTACCCTCCTACGAAAAAAGTTCTCTATCCGCCACCGAGCTAGACGACGACTGGACCAATCGTCGTCTAGCTCGGCTGAAGTTAAAACGCAACGGAGACAATGGAAGACTGCAACTCAACCTCAACTGGATTACGCCTGAACACAATGCTGAAATCAACCATTGAGTCAGAAAGAAGGGAGAATATAGAAATTTAAAAAATAATAGGATAGCCAAAACCAGACTGACAGGAGGAGGGGAAGGAAAGGGTGAGCGAAGGTGGGTGGATGGTGGGGGGAGGAAGTGGGTACTAAGTCAAGGAACGTAGAAGATAAGAAAAGAGGCAAGTGAGGGAATATACAGGGTGTCCATAAAAAACCTAGCACTTTTGAAGTTCGATATCTCCGGAATGGTAGGTCATAGGAGGGTGAAATTTTAGGTGGATACTCAGGGGGGGCATGGGATTTTATTTGAGACTGTTTCGAAAAAAAAATATATCCCCCCATATTTGCATTCTTGGCAGTATTAAACCACTACTGAAAGTACGTAATAATTTTCGGTCACAGATAGAAATGTGTTGACTTTGACTAAGAAGTAGAGGCGAACTTTTCTTTTCTACACCAAGTGTAATGCCGTTGCTGCCTTACGAAAATACCGCGCAGCACACAGCCAACGTTTAGAGCCCTGCTCAAGACAAGCTCTGATGAATTTGGTCGATAAGTTCGAGGAGACGGCTTGCGTTTGCAACAAGCCGCATGGAGGCAAGCCGTGAACCCCTGTAGATTTGTCGCTGAAATCAGAGGTGCGATTGACGAAGGGTCTAGCACAAGTGCACATGGAACGAACAAATGTTTAGACACGTTCTTGGACACATTTCAGCTTGTACGGAAACTTTTGTAGAGTTTACCTTAGAACCTTGAAACGGTTGAATGGTCCAGAAGGCGGGCGACAGCACGAATGCTGCGTGTCTTTTTCACTAATTTGTTACGTCAGTGTCGCTGGAAAACTCTCGTAGCCAATTCATTTTTGAGTAGCAACTGTCATTTGGCATGAATGGTTAGGCAGGTAATGGTGTATGCCTTCTTTTCTGGAAAAATGGAAGCTTCTGGTCAAACCAAATCAGACAAAATCAGAAGGGAAGCAGCAGAACGAAAACCATTGTCTAAACTGCGCTACGCGAGTAACACATGAATGGCCTTCCTTTTTTTCATCCATGGGAGAAATGGGAAAATTCTGACCGGAATAGGTACAGGTATTTATGCTCTATAAGGCATTGTCGAAGTAGAATTTCTGGACCAAACCATCTTTAAGATATAACATCGTACATGATTTTATTTTGAGTCTGGTGTTACAACAGTAACTTTGGAACTGCCCTAGAAAGGATTCCGAGCGGCAACCACGTTGTGCTGATGTGGGACTTCAATGCACGGGTTAGGAGATAAGACGCTACGTGGAGAGGTGTGACAGGTTGGTTTTGGGAAGCCACGCTGAACGGGAGTTGCAGGAAGTTGCTCGACTTCTGTGCTGGCAATGCCTATCACCAACAACTTTTTCAAGACAAGGATATCCACAAGTTTAACTAGCACAGGGGGTTTGAGAGTCAGACTGGCCAGCAATCGCAGATTGGTTACGTGACCGTTTCGGCGGACTTGCGGGGCCTTGTGATGGATACGAGGGTGTGGCGTGAGGCTGAACTGAGCACTGATCATCATCTAGTGGTCAGCCAACTTCGGATACGGACGAACCTCAGCACGAGATGGGTCTGACTAAAGAAGAGCAGATTGAAATAATCCTTTTGTATGGGAACGGAAGTGCATGTTCATTTTGAATGCCTGGAAAGGTTGTCAGTGCACAACAAAACGAACTACATATTGAACACATCTTGTGAAATTTCCTATGATTCCAGACTTGTGACTCATTCTGTATATTTGTTGAACATCCCACAAAAAAATTTAACATGGTAATTTCATGTCAGATCACTCAAATTTTCAATGGTTTCTTGGTCCACCATCAACGATTTCTCTGAAATTTGGTGTAGAATTAGCGGGTGGCCGAAAAACATGAAATCCTTTTTTTATGACTAAAGGTTTGTCCATGGCGAGGTCACAAAATTTTGACCTATTTTAGCTGGTCAGGCTGACCTTCACAAATTTTCTTGAATAACTTTTTACCTATTTGTCCTAATAGGTACATTTAGGACTCGTTTTAAGGTCTTTTTTATAACTATCTATATCTTGCGCATCTCATGTCAAGCTGTATGCTTCCTGTATACTCCTTTTGTAGGAAAAATCAAAGTTGTCTGACCTTTAACTCTTCATATAAAAAATGCATGTTTAAATTTCACCAAATTTACAAGATAGCGCACAAAAAATATGGTGATGCAGCTCATCAAATTTCAGGAGGCTTCTTTGTACCAGTCTTGAGATATGTGCAAAAACGTGCTCGACATTTGTCGTTGTTCGGTACTTCGTCAGATAGCTCACTATCTGGTGGATTTATTGCTCCATTATCGATTTGGCTGACCTACAGGGTGGTCCAGGTCTCCACAAAATTTCAAAGTCCCCTCTTATCCCAAATACTAGTTCAATTGTTACTCGTTATAAACCGTACGTTTCTGTTGTTTAATTCAGTCTTGAATTTGACTCTGTCGTTTAAACACAAGCGGAGAAAATGGCGATTGAAGCCAGGCGGTCGTTAGTCGTAGAACTGCATGAACTGGGCCTGAAAAGACCGGAAATTGAAAAGGCGGGTAAGAAGTTGAATTTGAGCCAAGCCTTCATCAAATGGATATTGGATGGATACCTTGAAACAGGCTCTACTGGCAAACGATCTGGAGGCAGCAGGAATATGACGAGAACGAATAAATTGGTCAGCCAAGTCAGGCTCTGAATTTGGCGTAATCGCAACAGGTCCACCAGGAAGACGGCGAAGGAGATGAATGTCTCGAGGTCGACAATGATGAGGATGATCAAGAATGATCTAGGGTTAACCTCCTGCCGGCTCCAGAAGCGACAGTTTCTCAGTAGAGCCACCAAGAGTAAGAGACTGTCCCGAAGTCGTCAGATTCTGGAGAGGCTCAAGAATGGTTCGGCCCTCAACATCGTCTTCTCGGATGAGAAGTTATTCTCGGTGCAGGAAGTCCACAACAGGCAAAATGGCCACGAAGTCGAGAGGTGATATTCAACCATGGAAGTCCACATAGTGCTCCGCACCCAGAAGCCGGCCTCAGTTATGGTGTAGGCGGCCGTCACCAACAAGGGCAAGTCCCCCCTCGTCTTCGTTCCCGAGGCCATCAAAATCAACAACATCTATATAAAATCTGCAGGACACCCTGCCCCCATGGGGTCAAGATCTGTTCGGGGATAAGCCTTGGACTTTCCAGCAGGATGGAGCAACGTCTCATACAGCTAATGTGACCCATGACCGGTGTCGGAAGAATTGGCCAGGGTTCTTGATCAAGGAAGAGTGGTCCCGTCGTTTGCAGATCTGAACCCTTTTGACTATGCCAGATGGTCGATCTTCCAGTCTAAGGCCTGTTCCAAGTCCCACCACAGTCTGGATCATCTCAGACAAGACTTGGTTCGTATTTAGGGCGAAATTTCGAAGAAAGTGGTGAGGAACAGCGTCAATAACTTCGAGAAGAGGTTGAAGAACATAATTAAGGTCAAAGGCTGCCACTTTGAGTGATACTTACGTCATGTCTGGTACATTATGTCAGGAACATGCTGTGCAAATTTCAAATCAATAAAACATGCTGTTTCTAAGAAAACAGCAGTAGGGGAGCGGCACCAGTTCCCGAACAGGGATCCAGTTAGCGAACGAGGGTCATGAAATGCGATTTGGTCTTTTGTTTCTCGAGTTACACGCTCCAGCTTTTCCATAGACGTCTTTTACCTAACTAACTAATTAATTACGAACCCTACCTCTCACTTTGATCTCATTGTTTTCTGGTTTAAACCTATACTACGGTGAAACGGAGAAACTGACGGTCGGCGCAGCCGTTCACCCTATGCTCTCATCCGCAAGGCTTTGCCCTGGCTCTATGCATCCCGAATGCGTCGGGGATGAGACCAGAACGGTTCAAAGAAGGAAATTCCCACCATTATTTTCTGCAAGGAAGACGTCAAATCCTGAAATCTGGAACTCGGTTTTATCTTATCTCCCCTTTACCTACTCTATGGAAGTACCATGAATCTCAAACGTCGTACAAATCATATCTTATCGCGCGTCATTAGTAAATAAAGAATGGAAGATGCTAAAAACACAAAAATTGAGAATATGAGGAGCAGGCAGGAACGAAAAAACCACAATAGGGGACGAGAATCCCAAGTCACGCGCATCAAAGGAGAGAGGTTTTTAGGGGTGAGGGTGGACATGGATGCCAAAGCTCTAGCGAAACCTCCAGCCTTCTTCAAATATGGAGAAATCGTGAGTCTCTCTCTCTGTCATCAACGTTCCGAACAGTCACAAGAAAGAATGCAGGATGCGTCTGTCTCCAGATATTCGGGTTGCTGGCGCTTTCACTCTTCCGGGCTGCCTACTCACAAGTCAACCTACAAGTGTTTTCCGACTACGGTCGAGCTTCATCTATAGAAGAGGAGATTAACAAGACTTTGGTAATCCACGGGACCTTGGTTGGGCTGTTCCTCTCCACCCTCGTCTTCCCTTTCGCCCTCCTCTTTGGCCACAAGACCGGCTCTATGGTGAGTCCCGTGCGACGTCCCAGAGAGATCTTGGTCAGCCTCAAGCGGGATCATGGACGTCCCTTTCATTTGCTCCCAGGGCGGGATGAAAGGAAGCTTAAGGGCTACTTTTAACATTTAATAACGTGGATGACCATTCAATCCATTCAATAGCCTGTTTCGTACGAGTTCTGTTTCAGGACTCCTTGCGGTACTTCATTGTAAACCAAAACTTCATTTTTCATTCCCGTACTTTTCCATCGTTCCTTCCTGATCCAGTCTTCTCAAAATGCTCACTCCGAGCAACTACGCAATGTTCAAATACATACTTGCATCTGCTTCTGGAAGTCATAACTGCTTTATTGTTAAGTTATAACTACCAATTAGGCCAAGGCCACCGGCGCATCTTCTTTATAAATCCCAAATCCCGTTTAAACACTCCAGTTTAGAATTCGGAAACAGAGTTTCCGTCTAATGCACGCCGAAGGGGATTCCGATTCATAGCGGAAACCACGTCTCCTATTTCTTAACGTAAATATGCTGTTTCGAAAAAAAAAACTTCTGAATCGATCCCTCCGACAAAAGCAAGTAATTGAGCTTTCCTCTCTCATTTTCCGGAAAATTCCAATCCATAGTCGGAATCGAGTTTTCGTTCACGGAAGTAAATTTCCGTCTCATTCGGGTTTTTCTTAATAGCTTCATTTTTCAAAAAACTGTTTTTTTCCATTCGAAATACTGCATGATTAATGGGATTCCATTGTCTTTACGGGACCTTCCCTTATTAATACGTGAGTATTTGGTGCACCCCATTTCACGGCGAAAGTCCTATTCACTGTCGCGATTATTCAGTACCTCCTTCAAATCATTTTCGGAAAAAAAACCGTAACCCATTCTCACCCCTTTCTCTTCTCAAAGAGAGTTAAGGGAGAAGGACCGAGTCCTGCATCCTTTATATTTTGATTAGTCGAAGAAGTGCCGGCCGCCATCAGCCAGGAAATGAAGATGATGTCGGTTCAGCAGAGCGTCCTGAGTGTTTCAGAGCAGTTTCTCTCCCGGCAGGAAGAAGCTGTCATGCTCTTCATTTTCCTCATATCCGATAGGAAAATAAACATAAATACCTTTCCTCTTGAGCAGGGAAAGTGGAAAATCTAATATATAGATATATAGACGATCGTGAATGAATGACTGACTGACGCTTATTCTAACCATGTTCTAGAAAGGTTAGAAATCAGAAACTTGGTACACATGTACCTTTCGGGTTGCAGAGTTCAGAAAAATTCCGATTTTGGAGATACATTCCCTGAGGGTACAAATTTTGGGGGGGAAAGTTTTTCTTAAATATATATTGTGACGGATTAGGATGGCATTCATAGAGTCAACTGTATGTCGAGGGTTCGATGTGTGGTGGTGACGGGTGGTGTGAAATTAGAACTGGGGTACGAGGGAAGTTGAAAACAATAGGTGCCAATTATCATGCAATAAATATCAATAAATAAATAGGAAGCAGGCAGGGGGAACTTCCCTTGGGTAACCGGATTCCCCCTTTCAGACTTCACATTTTTATTTTCCTGTAAACACTGAAAGCCTGCTTCGTCGGCACGAACTTGCAAGATACTCCATGAACAAAACTGCATCTGTCGATCTTGATGCCGCGAAAACTAATTATCCGGCTCCTCGTTCATTTCAGGAGATCATCCACGGAGGAGTCAGCGCCCTGTTCTACCTTGCCACGGGCGGTCTGCTCCTCAAGGAAATTACTCAAGGCAACGCTGAGTTCGGGGAGAAGTTCGATAAGATGATGATCGCCTCGGGAGCCTTCTGCATCATCCTCGCTCTCGTATTCATCGCGGACGTCGTCTTCGTCGCCCTCAAGTGGCGCAGGGCCAGCGATTGAGGATTCCTCTCAGGACACTCGAG